GAGCAATAAGACAGAACACAATTAAAGGAGTATTAATTGGAAAAGAAGAGGTCAAATTATCACTTTTTGCAAGTGATATGACGCTATGCCTAAGAGATCCCAAAAGTTCCACCAGAAAACTCTTAGAACTGATCAATACTTTCAGTATAGTGGCAGGTTATAAAATCTATCCCCCAAAATCAATAGCCTTTCTATATACCAATAACAAGCAATTAGAGAAAGAATACCAGGAAATGCTCCCATTCACAATTGCTGCAAAAAATTAAAATATCTTGGAATAAATCTAACCAAAGACACCAACGATCTCTACAATAAAAATTTTAAATCATTAAAGAAAGAGATTGAGGAAGATACCAGGAGACAGAATGACCTCCCATGCTCATGGATTAGAAGAATTAATATTGTGAAAATGACCACCCTATCAAAAGCAACATACAGATTCACTGCAATCCCAATCAAAATCCCCATAACGTACTTCATAGAATTAGAAAAAAAAAAATCCTTACATTTGTATGGAAGCACAAAAGACCCTGGATAGCCAAAGCAACTCTAAGCACAAAGATCACCCCTGGGGGGATTACTATACCAGATCTCAAAGTATACTACAGAGCTATAGCCATAAAAACAGCATGGTACTGGCACAAAAATAGACACATAGATCAATAGAACATCACTGAAGACCCAGCCTGAGTACACGCACTTTCAGCCACCCGATATTTGACAAAGGTGCCAAGAATACACAATGGAGGAAAGAGAGAATCTTCAACAAATGGTGCTGGCAAAACTGGATCTCCACCTGTAGAAGAATGAAACTAGATCCTTATCTTTCACCTTGCACAAAAGCCAACTCCAAATGGATCAAAGACCTCAATGTGAAACTGGAAACCCTGAAACCATTAGAAGAAAATATTGGCAGTAACTTACAAGACATAAATATAAGAAAGGATTTTCTAAATTGGACAGTTGCTCAGGAATTAAGATCAGCAATCAACAAGTGGGACCTCATTAAACTAAAAAGCTTCTGTACAGCAAAAGAAACAATCAAAAAAGTGAAGAGAAAACCCACAGAGTGGGAAAAAAATCTTCACCGGTGACACATCTGACAGAGGTTTAACATCCAGAATATATAAAGAACTCAAAAAATAAAGAATCAATAAACCAAATGACCCAATTAAAAAATGGGATAAAGATCTAAACAGAGAGTTCTCAAAGGAAGAACTAAAGATGGCTAAGAATATAAAAGAAATTCTATTAGGTCTAAAATCATGTTGACACCAATTTAGTGATAGTGGGTGACTTCAGTACTCCACAATCAATAGGTCATTCAGACAAAAACTAAATAGAAAAACTCTGGAGTTAAATTATATCATAAATCATGCTCATTCACTGCTGGTAGGATTGCAAACTCGTACAACCTCTATGGAAAACAGTGTGGAGAACTCTTAAAAAACTAAAATGAACCTACCATATGACCCGGTTATACTACTCCTTGGCATATACCCAAAGGACTCATCGTATTGTAGAGACACTTGTACAACCACATTTGTTGCTGCTGTTTTCATAATAGCTAAGAGATGGAAGCAACTTAAGGGCCCTCACCTGATGAGTGGTTAACAAAAATCTGGTATATTTACACAATGGAGTTCTATTCAGTAGTAAAGAAAGATTAAATAACAAAATTTGCAGGTAAATGGATAGATCTAGAAACTGTTATGCTAAGTGAAGTAACACAGACTCAGAAAAATAAAAAACATATGTTCTCCCTCATTTGTGGTCCTAGCACCAAATCCTTTTAAATTCCATGTCTTTTTAATAAGATGATACTGTACAGCAGTCTCTTCTGCTTGAAATAACTACCATCATCATGACATCAGCCATGCCTGATAGCTAAACATTGTCAAAATTGGGATTGTTGACAGTTGTGCTCATTCATTAAAGAAGGGGCAAACAGGGTCATTGGGCGCTCACTAGAGTATCCAGCCACTCTTCCTAGCCAACTGTGTGTAATTTGGCCCTAATCACACATGGCGCCCTGGATTTGGGGAGGGCTAAAGTACACAATCTGGGGAAGGCTAGGAAGAAAAGGCATGACCCATGCTAGATAAAGGTTTTCCAGTGTGCATACTCTCAGGCCATTCACACACCTCAGCAACCCCTCAGTCATCTCTGTAAGTAAGCTCAGTAAATTCATTGGTTCCTCAGTAAACTTTAATCAAATATTGGTTTGACACTAGAACCTTAAAAGGGAATAAGCATTGCTTAGTATCCCAAGGAAAAGAATTCTCACAACAGATGGAAAATTTATTTGTTAATGTTATTATGTCTTATAATTATTTAAAAAAAGAACATGAGAATTTGAAAGATGTTAAAAGGATATGGAAATGGAGATTTTTTCCAAAATAGAAAAAATGAGGAAGCCTAAGCAAGTGATGAAGGTCTGTATAGGTTTGTTGTGGTATAAAAAGGATGAGACAAAAACAATATACATATAATCTTAAAATTTCTAAGGTCATAGTTTAGTCAACTAGTTTAAGGAACAAAATATATATCTAGTCAAGGCTTATCTGAGAATATTTGGGGTTTTTTACCCAAGCTTTATCTACATAGCATATGGTAATCAAAAGTACCAGACTGGTGGAACTAACCTTATTGGATGTTTAACAGCCATACTTTGAGGCCTATTCTAATCTGGTCAGAGGGAGTTAAAAGACAGTTTTTGCCCCTTGCCCTCCAAGGTTGACTAAGTTCCAGGGGACAATGAAACATCTCTCAAAATGTCCTTTAACTGTGGTGAGTCACCTGTCCTCTTGTTCAGGGAAGCCATGGAGACCCTATGAGATGGACTTGAACAAGTATCAAGTCTACAAAGAGGAAGGTCAACTCAGAGGTAACTTTTCCTCTATGCTTCCAAGTGAAGCCAGCTATAGTTGAGCAGAACCTTTGACTTACCTTCACATATACGAAACTGGTAAAAGAAAGGCGCCAGGGGCTCCTCCCAAGCCCTTGTGACCCCTGAAGAACAGATCCTCAAACGAACTTAAGTATAAATATAAATTGATTCATTTGGGCCAACTGTATGGTCTTAAACACCCAAAAGGAAAGTATAACCAAAGAGTAAAGTGATCAGTATATTTCTTTTAAGAGTTCAAGGGATTACACTTCCCAGACATTAGGCTTAAGTCCATATAAAAAGTTCCTTAGACAATTATTTCTCATTGATGATTTTGTTTCTAAGCAGAAAGTACTGCTCAGTTGTAAGACTTCAAATTTTGGTCTACAATACTGTTATGCAATTTGAGAGTCTTTTAGATAGACCCACTGAAGGGGTACCCCAATTGCCTCACCCTGCATCCCTGTTTAGCATGGAAGAAGCCAGAATGGTCTGAGTCCAATTCCCTAACTGCAAGCTGGGTAACCTCTTCAGAGGACAGTGTGATAAGAATAGGAGGTAGGAATTGGCTAAGCAGTTAGTGTAAAAAGACTCCAAAGAAAAGTAGTCTATTTCTTGGCTAAAAGTCAAAATGTTCTTGGGCCTCTTATCAACATATTCTGTTCCAAAGGCCAAAAATGTCAAAAGTATTTGGGAGCTCTTATTTAATCCTTAAAAGATTGTAGGGTTAGCTCCTCAGAGGGGGGAATGTTAGAGCAGCAAAAAGCCCCATAAAAAAAAGAAAAAGAAAGAGTACACGAAGTTATCACAAAAAAGGTGATAAGGAGATATGGGAGGAGTTGGAGGGGAGGGCATGGATTTGATCAAAACACTTTATATGCTTATATGCCTGTATGAAATCCTTAATAAATTATTTTTTTTAAAAAGAGTTCAGCGGGGCATGGTGGCACAGGCCTTTAATCTCAGCACTTGGGAGGCAGAGGCAAGAGGATCTCTGTGAGTTCGAGGCCAGCCTGGTCTTCATAGCAAGTTCTAGGCCAGCTGGGACTACAGGGAGACCCTATGTCAAAAATACCCAAAAAATAAAAACAAAATTAAAA